TTAAGGCAAGGGGTAAAAAAGTCACATTTGGCCTTCAAGGATGCTGGAGAGGGGCTCTTCATCGGGGACTGTAGTGATAGGACAAGGGGTGATGGGTTCAAACTGAAACAGGGGAAGTTCAGGTTGGATCTTAAGGCAGAAGCTCTTCCCTGGGAGGGTGCTGAGGCACAGGGTGCCCAGAGAAGCTGTGGCTGCCCCATCCCTGGCAGTGTTCAAGGCCAGGTTGGACACAGGGGCTTGGAGCAAGCTGCTCTACTGGAAGGTGTCCCTGCCCACGGCAGGGTGTTGGAACTGGATGGACTTTAAGGTCCCTTCCAACCCAAACCAACCTGTGATTCTATAAAGGATGACTGGGCAAACTCAGTGTAATCTAATAATACTGTTAGTATCAGGGCCAGTTTCAAACATGTACAACCGGTTGAGGTAAATAGTTCTTTCTCCTCAGTGATTTTTCCCTGCTAAACCTCTGCTGAATTACATGTTAAACCCAAGTGTGGACTTTATTACCTGGAGATAGCTGATGTGTGATTAACACTGGGGCTTGCAGGTTTGCAGTGGCAGCCTTTGTATTAGACTCTCATCTAAATGAAGATCTTCATGCATGGTTGAATCCCTTTCCATGCAGGAGAACAGTCAGGAAGCACAGGAGAGCAGTCAGGAAGCACAGTGTTCATAGAAAAGAGCCAAAATGAAAGCTTTGGGCTGTGCTGTATGCAAAAGGTGTGAGCACAAAGCAGAGAGTGCTTCTCTGAAGTGCCTGACTGCCACAGGCTCATACTGAAAGGGACACTCTTTCTTTCTATGCCATTAGTATAATGAGTCCATTTGGGATGTGGAGTTCTGCTCCTGCAGCACTTTTATTTCCTCTTTCAGATCAGCCATTTGAGCTCAACGTTTGCTCCAATCCTCCTGGAAATCATTCAGAGTAACCAGCCTGAAGGGGTCCATCTGTTAGTGAAAGAGGTATGTTTGATTTTACCAGTGATGGGCACTCAGGAAGCAGGTAGGATGTGACATGAATTTGCTTGGAGAAGACAGACCTGGTCCTGAAGCTGCTGTCTGCTCTGGACTTACGGATACCCAGGATCACCCAGAACCAGCCCTCACTTGGTCTATGGAAAACCATTACCTCTAATTCTTGATGAGTGTTCCATACTCCATTTAGCATCCTCTGGATGCATCCCTACTCACAGAGCTGTGTGGTGCAGTGACATGCTGGAGGGAAGGGATGGGATCCAGAGGGATCTGGACAGGCTGGAGGGTTGGAACCTTGTGACTCATGGAGTTCAACAAGGCCAAGGGCAAGGTCCTGCCCCTGGGTCAGGGCAATCCCAGCACAAACAGGCTGAAAGAGCTGGGCTCGTTCAGCCTGGAGAAGAGAAGGCTCCTTAAGGCGAGACCTTAGAGCAGCTCCAGTGCCCAAAGGCGCTCCAGGAAAGCTGGAGAGGGGCTTGGGACAAGGGCCTGTAGGGCCAGGCCAAGGGGAATGGCTTTAACCTGCCAGAGGGGAGATTGAGATGAGCTCTTAGGCAGAAGCTCTTCCCTGAGAGGGTGCCTAGTCGCTGGCCAAAAGACCTCAGGACTTCAGGCCAGAGCTCAGGACGAGGGCAGAACTCCACCCACTGGTGGACCAGGCATAAGGAGATACTTAAACTCATTTTACATTCAGACAAAACATTCCCAGGAAGCCCTTTTTCTTCAGGGACTAAAAGACTCTAGTGGCTGGCAAGGGAACGCAGCACAACTAAATTTAAACATGAAAGCACAGTTGGCTTCTTAAGTGGCCTTTGAAGAGTATTTACTTATCTGCAGCTCTGCAAAACCAGAAGGAAGATGGGAGAAGGTCTCTTGAGCTCAGTAATCTCTGCTTTGGTCACGGTCCCATTTCTGGGTTTAATTTTGCGTGATGGCTTTGGCCCTGGAGGGACAACTGTGACATTGAGCCACTTGCAAAGTCATAGAAACATAGAATAGTTAGGGTTGGAAAGGGCCTTAAGATCATCCAGTTCCAACCCCCCTGCCATGGGCAGGGACACCTCACGCTAAACCACGGCACCCAAGGCTTCATCCAACCTGGCTTTGAACACTGCCAGGGATGGAGCATTCACAACCTCCCTGGGCAACCCATTCCAGTGCCTCACCACCCTCACAGTAAAGAACTTCTTCCTTAGATCCAGTCTAAACTTCCCCTATTTAAGTTTTAACCCGTTACCCCTTGTCCTATCACTCCAGTCCCTAATGAAGAGTGCCTCCCCAGCATCCCTCTAGGACCCCCGTCAGATACTGGCAGGCTGCTATGAGGTCTTCCCTTCCCTTCCCTTCCCTTCCCACTTTCTCAGCCTAACCCAGTCATTGCAGTCCACTGCAGGAAGCCCAGTGGCTTCATGCCACTGATGGTGCAAGAGGTGAAAGCTTTGGGATGCTCCTGCAAAGACTGGAGAAAGTCCCAATCTCCTTAAGAACATAGATGCTACAGTGATGGGCAGTGGCAGAGATGGAGACATCCAGTTGACTTCTTGAGCCCAATGCCATCACTCACACTGACAAAAGCAGTTAGCCAGGAGAGGAAGAGCTTACAAAGATGAATTTCAGAGCAGCCCATGCCAGTACCAAGTGTTCAAAACCATTGTGGCCTCTGCTTTCCCCCAGAACCTGCTCCTGAGGGAAGCTGGATATAAGAGAGGAGTCTTAGAGCGCTGCAACCAGCTTCCACGTGGAGCTGCCTACAAGATCCTACTCAGTGGGGACTTTCTGCTTGGGCTTCTTAGGTTCAGCAGACAATCAATTTCTAAGTGATTCTTTTTGGGAGAGGGTTCATCTTCCATTTCAGGCAGTTCTCAAGGTGGTTCTGATTTGCTTGGTTTGTTCTATCCTCTACAGCACACAGAAGCTGACTTCAAGAGCCGACTGAAGGCTCGACCAGAACTTGAAGAGCTGAAGGCACAGATGAACTGAGATGAAGATGAACTCTCCATCCACTTTGGAGCCACCCCCAGAAAAGTGACCTTCTCCACATGGTTGTTAGGCCTGCAGAAGGTGATTTCATGAGCATTGTACCAATAATGTGGTGAGTGGGAAGAAAATTCCCTGTTAAGGAGCTTGTCTTAATAAATACATGTGTTTAACTGACCCTTTAGAATGAGGCCACGGAGCTGCTGCGAGGGCTGGAGCAGCTCTGCTCTGGAGCAAGGCTGAGAGAGCTGGGCTGGGGCAGCCTGGAGAAGAGAAGGCTCCTGAAGGGGAGACCTGAGAGCAGCTCCAGTGCCTAAAGGGGCTCCAGGAAAGCTGGAGAGGGGCTTGGGACAAGGGCCTGTAGGGCCAGGCCAAGGGGAATGGCTTGAACCTGCCCGAGGGGAGACTGAGCTGAGCTCTTAGGCAGAAGCTCTTCCCTGGGAGGGTGCTGAGGCGCTGGCCCAGGGTGCCCAGAGAAGCTGTGGCTGCCCCATCCCTGGCAGTGTTCAAGGCCAGGTTGGACACAGGGGCTTGGAGCAAGCTGCTCTAGTGGAAGATGTCCCTGCCTGTGGTAGGGGATTGGAGCTGCATTACCTTTGAGGTCCCTTCAACCCAGACTACTCTGTGATTCCAAGGTTTTGGGGTGGAAATCCCCATCTCACCCCACAACCATCCCCTTGAGCTTCCAGTTACCCCATTGACAAAGTTCTTCAGCCAGGGAGATGGATACCACTGGATTTAATCTCTCAACAGCACAGTGTGGATTTAACAGCCACCCAGTGGACCAAAAAAAATCACAAAAAAAAGGGGTGACATGGCACAGCCACCCCATTCCTGGCGATTCCCAGTCTGGAATCAGGCTTCCAGGGGGATTTCACTCTCCAGCAGGAGCTGGGTGGCCTTGGCTCTTGCTGGGTGCCCTCTGTACCTCCCTGTCCTGCTTCCTGTGGGCCATGCAGTCTCTGAACGCCCTGACCTGGGGCTGGCAGTGCCGCCAGTCCTGCTGCTCCGCCATGCAGTGCTGCAGCGCCCGGTGCTGGGCCATGCAGCCCGTCCTGGAGACCATGGCGTCCACTGGGTCCTCCTCATCCTCCTCTTCCTCCGGTGACACACGGCTCCTGCCATGTCCCGGCCTCGCCATTGCTGCAGGGAGGGAGGTGCCAGGAGTTGGGTGCTGCCTTCCTGTCAACAGGAGGAACACCCCACGGTGCCCAGCACCCTCTATCCCACACCCCTATGGTGCTCAGCACCCTCTGTGCTCACATGGTGCCCCAAAAGGGTCCATATCCCTCCCTGGGAAGAGCTCAGCACCCCTTCATGCAGCACATACACCTCCATGGGTACCCCTCATGCCTCCTCCCATAGGTGCCCAGCACCCCCATGCACCTTACCTCCCCCTGGGGGTGCCCAGCACCTTCCCCAACCTATAGCTGTTTGCCCCACACCCCTCCATGGGTGCTCAGAGCACCCACATCATCCCCATGCACCCCCTCAGAGGAGCTCAGTACCTCCCCCATGCATCCTACCTCCTCCCATGGGTGCCCATCACCGTCCATGCACCCACCCAGCACCCATGGGTGCCTAGCACTCTCCATGCATCCTACCCCCACACAGCACCCTCCCCAACCGATAGCTGTCCACTCCCCATCCCAGAGCACCCACATTACCCCCGTGCACTCTACTATGGGTGCTCAAAGCATGTCCCCCACGTACCCTACCCCCATCCATGGATGTCCAGGACCCTCCCCAATCCATAACCCCACCTCCATGGGTGCTCAGCGCCTCCCCCATGCACCTTACCCACACCCACGGGTGCCCAGCACCCTCTCCAACCCATGGCTGTCCACCCCCATACCCCACCATAGGTGCTCAGAGCCTGTCCCCCATGCACCCTACCCCCACCCATGGGTGCCCAGCACCCCACGGTCCCGGCTCCCCCCGTACCCTCCCAGCACCGCGGCGCGGCTCCTTTAAGGCTGGTGTCGGGGAAGGCACTGCCGGGGCGCGGCGTGACGTAGCGCCGGACGTGCCCGCTCATTGGACAGCGCCTTCCTCTTCCGCGCCGGCGGGGTGTGTCGGGAAGGAAGGAGGCGGAAGCGGGCGCTCGGCAAGATGGCGGCGACGCTGCGCATTCAGAGCGACTGGAGCCGGGCGCTGAGGTGAGCGCGGGCCCCGGGGCCCTTCCCGTGTGCCGGTACCTTTTACCCGCCCCGCACTCACTGCTGCTCTTTCTGTGCGCAGGAGGGACGAGGGCGAGGCCTGGCTGAGCTGCCGGAGCCCTGGTGAGCGGCCGGAGGAGGCCTCGGGGGGCGGTGGGATGATGGGGTGCCGTGGGGCTGGAGGGAACCCTGTGGGGTAGGAGGGAGGGAGGGCAGCTGGGGGTGTCCTGTGAGTGGGGTGAGGCAGTTAGGAGGTGCTCTATGGGTTGGGAGGGGGGTGAGGGCTGCTGTGGGGTGCACTGTGAGTTAAGAGGGGGTTGCAGGAGGTTGGGGGGTGCCCGTTGCTTTATATGGGAGTGAGGGTGGTTGGCAAGGGGATCTAAATGTTATGGGGGGGAGTGATGGTGGTTGGGGCGTGCCCTTTGGGTTAAGACAAGGGTGAAGGTGATTAGGGGGTACCTTGTAGGTTATGGGAGGGTGAGGGTCTGAGTGTGGCTGTGGCCTGTGCTATGAGAGGGGTCAGGGCAGTTGTGGGGTGCCCTGTGTGTTAGGAGGGGGTGAGGGGAAGGAAAGCTGAGGGCTGCTCTCCCCGCAGGGAAGCCAACCCTGTACGGCAGTGTGACCCGCCGGGGGCTCAGCACCGAGGGTGTTCCCGACATCGCTGCCTCTGAGGGCTTCGTGGTTGGGGAAGTCACCAAGGTGCCAGGGCTGGGCTGTGGTGGGATTGGGGGGGGGGGGGGGGGGGTGTTAGTAACTGCCTTGTGTGCACAAAGGGGCAGTGGAATCATAGAATCCCAGACTGGTTTGGGTTGAAGGAACCTTAAAGCTCCTCCAGCTCCAACCCCTGCCCCGGGCAGGGACACCTTCCACGGGAAGCAGCTTGCTCCAAGCCCCTGTGTCCAACCTGGCCTTGAACACTGCCAGGGATGGGGCAGCCACAGCTTCTCTGGGCACCCTGGGCCAGCGCCTCAGCACCCCCACAGGGAAGAGCTTCTGCCTAAGAGCTCATCTCAGTCTCCTCTCGGGCAGGTTAAAGCCATTCCCCTTGGCCTGGCCCTACAGGCCCTTGTCCCAAGCCCCTCTCCAGCTTTCCTGCAGCCCCTTTAGGCACTGGAGCTGCTCTCAGGTCTCCCCTTCAGGAGCCTTCTCTTCTCCAGGCTGCCCCAGCCCAGCTCTCTCAGCCTGGCTCCAGAGCAGCAGCTCCATGGCCTCCTCTGGTCTCACTCCAACAGCTCCACATCCCTCTTGTGCTGCTGCCCCAGAGCTGGATCAGGGTTGCATGGGGGGGTCCCCTCTTCACGCAGCAGAGGGGCAGGATCCCCTCCCTGAGCACTGCTCACGCTCTGGGGGTGCAGCCCAGCACACGGGGGGGGTTGTGTCTGGGCTGAAGCACACACTGAAGCTGGGTCATGGGGAGCTTCTCCTCACCCCTGAGAGGGGCTGCTCTAATCACTTCTCCACCCAACCTATAGCTGTGCTTTTACAGCACTTGAAATAGCAGCCTGAAGCTGTTGTCCAGTCCCCCGCATGGTGCTATCCAGCTATCCCAGGCCTCCTGCCTGTGCTGTGCCCTGGAGCTGGTCTGGAACATCCCATACTTGGGTTGGGGTGCTCTGACCATTCCAAGCCATCCAGGGCTTGCATCTTGAGGAGCATAAAGAGATGAGCCCAGTGCTGCATCTCCCATTGGTCTTCAGGCTGTGAGAGACCACAGCCTGGTTCAGACTGTAGTTCTACCTTGTCACTGTCTGTGTTTCAGTAGGACTAACAGCACTTCTAATTCTTCTCCTCCTCTTTTTCCTCCTCTAGAAGAGCATTCTCATTTCTTGTCCTCATGAAAATGTGTCCACCAAGTTCCTGGCCCCGTACACAACTTTTGGTAGAATCCATCAGAAAAGTGTGAGTAACTTTGCCAAGTGAGTGGGAAATAGCTGGGAGTGACTTTGACCTTTCACAGTGTGTCTCTGAATGGTGCATGTTCCTTTTGAGGGGTGGTCTGCAGCCTGACTTTGTGTGTGAAGCAGGAAATAGAACACAGCAGATCATGGAAACTTGATCGTGGTTGAGTTTAATCCCTAAAAATAATCTCTTGTATCCTTTGGACTGATTTTTTTCCTAAGTCATCTATTTTCTGCTCACTTCAGGCCCTTGACAAACCCCCCTATAAAGGGATATGTGAATGAGTGTGTCAAAACCCAACATAATACAAGGTTCCAGGTGCTGAGCTTTTCATCTGACTGGTTCTGCTCCATTCCTGTTTGCAGCAGCTCTTGTTTCCCATTAATAAAGTTTTCCATCTTTGCTGTATGAATTTGTGTTTGTGGGGCTGGGAATTGCATGTTGGCATAAACTCAGCTTGCCCTGGTGGGAATTTAGAGACAAGAAAGGCTCAGCTTGTATTTAAAACTCAATAAATTGCATAAATTTCTCACTTATTTAAAAGCAGCCTTGCTCCTTTGGCTGAATGATCTTTCTTATCATGCCCCCATCAACCTGGGGGTGCCATAAGCACAGCCACGTGCTGAGCAGTGACACACAAAGGCTGACTGACCTGAGACTTCATTTCTTCACTGAAGAGAAGCTCATAACTTGGCTTTGTAGGTTGTGCTTCTGCTGAATGCTTAATCCTATGTAGAAATGATCCAAGAAATGGGGGAGTGTGTATCCTGCAGGCACAGCAGCTGCCCTGCAGGGAGTCCCTGAAGCCACTGGAGATGTTACAGAACACTTATCTCCTGATCTATGGAGTAAATGGTTGTGATAAACCCAGCCTAAAATGCTGGGAAGCTGCACAGTCACTCTGAATTAGCTCAAAAGCAGTATAAATCAGGTGCCTTTGACATAAAGGCAACTCTACAGCTGTTTTTAAGAGGAAGCAAAGCTCTGCTGAGAGATGGAGCTTGGCACTAAAAGGTGAATTACTTCCCTGAGCTTTGTGCTGCTCGAGAGTCCCCAGCTGCCCTTTTGTGTGAGAAATGGAATCAGCATTCAGAGCACAGCAAAATGGAAATGCAGGTGGAAGTGTTCAGTCTGCTGTCAAAGGGGGGTGATGGGTTCCAGGTGCACTGCAGAGATCTCCTCTGGAAAGCAGCTGAAGCAAGAGCTGTTAATATAGAGATGAGTTTAAAGCTGGTGTGGACTGTGCTCCAGTTCTCCTTTATACCTGCTGCCTCTTCTGAGCACTCCTGTTTTGCCTGATTCCATATTCCAAGTCCTTCCTGAAACTCTGGGCATGTGGCAGACATCAGAGGGGGTTTTAATTTCTGCTTCAGTGACTTTCTCAGGCTTTTTGGCTTTTTCAACCAGAGAGTAAATGACCACAGATTGGTTTGTTACATGAGCTGCCACTTGTGTTACCAATGTACTTAATGGCTGTTGTAATGGATTAAGCACTACCTTGTGCTCTTAATTGAATCACAGAATCCCAGACTGGTTTGGGTTGAAGGGACCTTAAATCCCATCCAGCTCCAACCCCTGCCACGGGCAGGGACCCCTTCCACTAGAGCAGCTTGCTCCAAGCCCCTGTGTCCAACCTGGCCTTGAACACTGCCAGGGATGGGGCAGCCACAGCTTCTCTGGGCACCCTGTGCCAGCGCCTCAGCACCCTCCCAGGGAAGAGCTTCTGCCTAAGAGCTCAGCTCAGTCTCCCCTCGGGCAGGTTCAAGCCATTCCCCTTGGCCTGGCCCTACAGGCCCTTGTCCCAAGCCCCTCTCCAGCTTTCCTGCAGCCCCTTTAGGCACTGGAGCTGCTCTCAGGTCTCCCCTTCAGGAGCCTTCTCTTCTCCAGGCTCACCCAGCCTGGCTCCAGAGCAGAGCTGCTCCAGCCCTCGCAGCAGCTCCGTGGCCTCCTCTGGACTTGCACCAAGGGCTCCATGTCCTGGCTAAAACTGTTTAGCTGGGGGTGTGGAATCTCTTTAGGGTGTTCTGAATGAGTTCAGCTGTACGTTTTGGGGAGATGATGGCACTGAATTACTTAGCAAGGCTCCTCTAGTACAGAGTTAGATGCTGGAGCAGAAATATCTTTGTACTGGGTGATACAAAGCTAATGTTTGGTGTTTTTTACCCTCCTGCAGGTCACCTGTCTTGATATCTCCAGTGGTGGAGGGCTTGGCGTGTCTACCAGCACGGATGGGACCATGAAAATATGGCAGGCTGCGAATGGAGAAATAAGAGTAAGCGCATCTAGCTTTGTTCTGAGTTGCCTGTGACATTATTAAAGTCATTTGGCCTTGACTTTGGTCTGACTGTCCACATGTTGAGGTCTAGGGCAGGCAAGAATCATGGATTGGTTTGGGTTGGAAGGGACCTTAAAGCTCATCCAGCTCCAACCCCCTGCCATGGGCAGGGACCCCTTCCACTAGAGCAGCTTGCTCCAAGCCCCTGTGTCCGACCTGGCCTTGGACACTGAGATCTCATTTAAATCTACAGTCTGGCCTTTGAATGAAAAGCTAATTCAAATTTGACATCTCTGAGGTTTTAATCAAATCTCTGGAAAGCATGGCTTCTCCCAAGGGAAATGATGCTCAGCCATCCGGAGAGGAGTCTCAGCATGAAAATAAGAATGGGTCCTTAGGGATGACAGCTCGAATGTGGAAGATAACTGGCAGCTCCTAATCTGTGTGCTACAAGCACTGAATGTCTTCTGCAGTAGAGAAGAGGTGAGGAGAAGGCTCCTGGCTCTGGTGGATTAACCACATCATGGCTTGTTGCCTTCCCAGTTAATGTTTCGTGTGGAGCTTGACCTATCAGCTGCTTGCTTGGTAGAGGATAAAGACATTTAACTTCTGGCTGGAAACAAATGTAGTATCCTTTACTGCACAATCAGCTACTCAAATGGTAGAGGGAGACCCCAAGTGTGCCTGCTGCCTCTTGGACTGCCTCAAGTGCAGACAAGTCCATTCCAGGCATGCACACTCAGAGGATTTGAGCTTAATTCTTTGCCCACATGGGAGCACCAAGTTTTCCAGTGTTATAGCTCAAAAACTGCTTGGCATAAGGATGATAACAATGGAACTAGCACCTAGTTCTTTGTTTTTCCAGAGACTATTGGAAGGCCATGTGTATGATGTGAATTGTTGCAGGTTTTTCCCATCTGGCCTCGTGGTTCTGAGTGGGGGAATGGATGCCCAGCTAAAGATCTGGTCAGCAGAAGATGCCAGCTGCGTGGTAACATTTAAAGGTCACAAAGGAGGTACTTAGCCTTTCCAGTGCTTCATCTGCCATGTGTATAATTGCTTTGGACCTGAGGGCTGATGTTCAGTCACCAGCCTGCTGCACTTTGTGCTCTGCATTTGTATTAGATGCCCACAGTAGCTTTTGCAAGCTCCCAGAACATAAATAAGATTAGTAGCTGTATTAGACAGATGAAACCATTTATCTCACCATTTTCTTGCATTTTCTTCATGAATTAAGATTAAAAGAGGGAGGATGCAGTCCATTAGCCTGCGGTGAGTGCCAGAGGTGAAAGCAGAGGGCCTTCTGCTCCTGCAGAGCTCCAACCTGCATTCAGTAGCCTTGTTGCCTGTGCTGGAAATGCCTTTGCTTGCACCAGAACACCTTGTTCAGCTTCAGCTGCTCCAGAGCCTCTTTCTTTTGGTTTTGTTGTTTGTTTTTTCATTCTCCTTGCCCAGAAAAGCAAATAGGAACTTATTATGGGCTTGCAGAACTCAGGCAGTTACCTGCCTTGAGGATGCGTGCTGTTTAAAGTGAGTAACTCAGATCAAGAGGTGCTGCAAGGACACTTAAGTGATTATTAGTTAAGAAGGGCTGGAATAAGCTTGTTCACCCCTGTACTGAGGGCACACATTCAGCTCTGCCCCTCCTGATGGTCTTGCTGCTGAAAATGAGAGTAAATTCTTCACCCTCCTTGTGTCCTTGTGTTGAGGATGCACTGACCACCTTGCATGGTGAGTTTAGTGCTGTTCCTTGCAGGAGGGTCTGCACTAGAAACCGCTCCACTTGACACTTAGTCCTAGGGAAGAACTGCAAGGGATGGAAAATGAGCTACCCAGAAAGGCTCCTGGAGCTGTGATCAGACAAATTTCCTTACAGAGCCTCTGTTAATCCTTAGAAAGCAGATTTGGGTTTCCAGGACCCTTTGTTCAGAAGCAATGTGGATTCTGACATACTGCTTAAGCATGCTCCTCTTTCACTCTTTGTTTACACCAGGCCCAGAGCACAGTGGCCAGTGATGCTGTCTTGTCATGGCAGGTGGTTGCTTCCAAGTGAGTTGTGGATGTGGCATCAAATGCCCCAAACCCTGCCCCAAATTACCTTCTCCCTGAGCAACTAACTGCTCCGTACAGTTCTCTCTGTCTCCCAAGTGTTGGTGTTATCGGAAGGGTCCACGTGGCTGCCCAAGATTAACTCAAAACCTCATCTTCTACTGAACCTGCTGCTGTTCTGATGTGATTTCTTTGTGTGGATTCAAAATACTTAGCTCTAAATGTCCATCAAACCAAAGGCAGCAGACAGCTAACACAGCTTTGGTCACAACACCACCGCCTGGCTCCTGACAGCTCCGATGTTGCCTTTACTCCCTGCTTATAACTCCAGCCCAAGCTGCTGCAGGCTGTGCGCTTGGCTTGTCCTGTCATTTGAGCTTGTCATGTTTAATGACTGCTTCTGTAGGGAAAGTGTCAATTAAACCTTCAAGCCATCTGACTGTTCCCTTCCAAAATGCGTGGAGTTGTTTTTCAGAGCTAGACTTGACAGCCCACACTGAAATAAAGTAGTGACGGGGCATCAGCGCCTGCAAAAACTGCTCTTGTCATGTTTCTGTAGCCAGATAAGGGGATGCTGCTTGCTCCTCACACCTTTTGGGATTACCCAGAGCTGGACTTGGCACATTTTCAGTGCTGGGCCAGGCTGTTTTCTCCTCAAAGGTTAATTCTAGAGGTAGAAACTGTGGAATCGGCTCACTCTGAAGCTGATCATTGTATTGGCAATACCTTGCCTTTGTGCCAGATGATGGCTCCAGCTCCATATGGTTCTCTGGGAGCTGCTGCCTTCCACATACACCTCTTTCCTAGACACTGTGGGTCCCTACCCTGTATTGCACCCCACCCGATTTGGCTCTAATGACTGGTGGCACTCTGGGACCCGAGATGCTTTGTCTGTGTGCATTCCATGCTCTCTGAACACGTGCCTTTGCTTTGCTGCAGGTATTTTGGACACAGCCATTGTGGATCGGGGAAGGAACGTCCTGTCCTGCTCCAGGGACGGCACTGCCCGGCTCTGGGACTGCGGGAAGTCCGCCTGCCTGGGGGTCATTGCTGACTGTGGCTCTCCTGTCAATGGCATTGCTGTGGGCACTGCTGAGAGCTCCCTCAACCTGGGCACGCCTGAAACTGCTCCGAGTGAGAGTCCTTTCCTTAACATTCATCTTTGAGAGCAGCCCTGAGGAGAAGGACTTGGGCTGTTGGGTGAGGAGAAGCTCTCCACGGCCCGGCTTCACTGTGCGCTTGAGCCCAGAACTCCCCCCAGGTGCTGGGCTGCACCCCCAGAGCGTGAGCAGCAGCTCAGGGAGGGGATCCTGCCCCTCTGCTGTGTGAAGGGGAGAACCCCCCTGCAGCCCTGATCCAGCTCTGGGGCAGCAGCACAAGAGGGACGTGGAGCTGTTGGAGTGAGGCCAGAGGAGGCCACAGGGGCTGGAGGGCTGGAGCAGCTCTGCTCTGGAGCTAGGCTGAGAGAGCTGGGCTGGGTGAGCCTGGAGAAGAGAAGGCTCCTGAAGGGGAGACCTGAGAGCAGCTCCAGTGCCTAAAGGCGTTCCAGGAAACCCAGAGAGGGGCTTGGGACAAGGGCCTGTAGGGCCAGGCCAAGGGGAATGGCTTTAACCTACCCGAGGGGAGACTGAGCTGAGCTCTTAGGCAGAAGCTCTTCCCTGGGAGGGTGCTGAGGCGCTGGCACAGGGTGCCCAGAGAAGCTGTGGCTGCCCCATCCCTGGCAGTGCTCAAGGCCAGGTTGGACACAGGGGCTTGGAGCAAGCTGCTCCAGTGGAAGGGGTCCCTGCCCATGGCAGGGGTTGGAGCTGGATGGGCTTTAAGGTCCCTTCCAACCCAAACTAGTCTGGATTCCAATTCCCCTGTCCCAGCCTACTTGGGTTTGTCACCACTCATCCTAAGCGTATGGCATGCTGCTGTGTGCCCTTATACCACTGAGGGACCAGAATGGGGTCACCAGTAAGAACACTCCAGTCCTGAAAAGGAATTGAGCCTTATCAGGCAGTTGGAATGCTTACAACTGTGGTCTCCTTGCTGGTGTCTTAGGCTCTGGAGGAATGTTGCTTTACATTCAGCAGGGATGCTCCAACCCAGCAGGTTTTAGTACCATGACCATTTGTTTCATGGGCACTGCTGGAATTCACCATTGTCCTTTCCTCAGGTGAACGTGAAATTGGGACAGAAGGGAAGCTCCTGCTGCTGGCTCGAGAGGACAAGAAGCTTCAAGGAGTGGGTCTGCAGAGCAGGCAGGCGGTGAGGAGTGGGGCTGTCACAAGTACCTGCCTGGGAGGGTGCTCTGTGGTGCTGCTCCAAAACCACCTCTGGGGCCTGTCCCTTTTGTTTCTGTTGTGCTCTTGTTGGTAACTGCTGTTCATGAGGCTGTTCAGAGCTCTGGGATGGGGAATGAAACCACATTAAACCTAGATGGTTTATCTAGCTCATTACCTAGGTAAAGAAGGTGGTTAGTGTAATCCCTGTGCCATTCCCCACGTGGCACAGAAGGGGACAGATCCAGGCTGGAGGCAGGGAAGAGCTGATCACCCCTTTGGTTTTGCCCTGCCCTGTTCTCCCTGTACCTGGTGCAGTAAAGGGATGTTTTCTCTCCTTCCTACTGCCAGATTTTTCTGTGGGGGGTTTAAGTAAGAATTACTCCTCATTTAACCCCGTTTTGGGGAGGACACTACTTAAACAGAGGCCAGTAGATGTCATTGTGAAGCAGGAACTTGAGGCTGGCTCATGCAGCCAAGATGTAAAGTTGCTGTTTATTCTGCAGGTGAGACCTCAGGTGGTCACCAGAACTTCTCCCTCCTCGTAGCAAAGAGCAACGGAGCTGGTAGATGTCAGGTACTGAGGATCTTCCCAGGACCATCCTGGGCAGGGCTTGGAATTAGATGTCCTTAAGGTCCTTTCCAACCCAAGCCATTCTGTAGGTCTGTGTAGCAGATCAAACTGATCATGGTGGCTGTGGAGAGTAAAAGCTGGGTGGAACAGATGAGCTCCCCATGGTCAGTGAGATGGCAGTGTCTGAGGATCAGTTCCCTGTCACTGTGTGCCACATCTCTGCTCCAAAGGAGGCCCAGGAGCAGTCACTGATTGCAGTGTCTCTGCTGATACATCAAAACTGATCCTGGAGCACTGTTCTCATCTTGAGGGGTTATTAACCTACCTCTGGGTTTGCCACTTCGTGCCATGGAAGCAACTCTATGGGCTTCTGAATAAGTGATGGCTTCCTCCTGGGTGTCCTGTGTCCTTCTCTGTGTGTCTGACACTTGCATTTGTTCCTGTGTTCTCAGGTGTTCCTCTTTGTGGGATCTGATGCATTCAACTGCTGCACATTCCTCTCAAGCACCTATATCCTGGCAGGGACTCAGGATGGGAACATTTATCAGCTGGATGTGAGGAACACAAAGTGAGTGAGTGAGGGCCTGGGGCTGCAAGTATTTAACTACATCTCTTTCCCATTTGTTTGGGAAAGAGCCAGACTGTGGGTCATCCACCTTGTAAAGGGTGGATGTGGCCCAAGGCACGGCACCATGAGCTTCTGAGTCACTTCACAGCCATTTCTTTCTCTTGGGGAGGACACATCTGCTCAGGTTGGTGAGCTCATGGGATGTTCTCTGGCAAATGCCTCCTAAGAGCTCTGGAGCCAGGCTGAGAGAGCTGGGCTGGGGCAGCCTGGAGAAGAGAAGGCTCCTGAAGGGGAGACCTGAGAGCAGCTCCAGTGCCTGAAGGGGCTGCAGGAAAGCTGGAGAGGGGCTTGGGACAAGGGCCTGTAGGGATAAGAATGAGCTTGGAGCAAGCTGCTCTAGTGGAAGGCGTCCCTGCCCGTGGCAGGGGTTGGGACTGGATGAGCTTTAAGGTCCCTTCAACCCAAACCACTCTGGGATTCTGTGTATCTTCTGACCATGAGCTTGCTCGCTTCTTTGTGTTCACACACTGGAATGGGCTCTTGCCTATAAACTATAGTACTCATCCCTTGTTTCTGCTCTGTTCTCCAGTGCTCCCATCCAGGTCATCCATCGCTCAGGAGCACCAGTGCTCTCACTGCTCCCGTACCGAGATGGATTTATTGCCAGCCAAGGTAACTCCAGTGCTGTGTGGTATAATGGAATGGAGGAGCTTTGTACTCTGAGTATTGCCCTCTGGCATACAAGTGGTTGTGGGAGAGGGCTGGACAATGCCCATGGCAAAAAGGTGATGTTGTAGGAGCTATGTTATGTGGTTGCTTTTTGCCTTGTGATTTCCATCCTCCATCTCCCTTGTGTTCTTCCAAAACAGGGCTTCCAAGGTGCACCTCAACCCTCGGAGCCTTTTCCTATCCCCACAACGTTTCCCTCTTGCTATGGGCTTCATACCCTGTGATCAGGTGTTTTGATGGACCTGTTTGTAACCAAGAGCATGGCTTATTGCACTGATTGCCCAGTGTTCCTCATGCTTGGTGTGTTCTGCTTGTGTAGGTGATGGAACCTGCTTTATCATTCAGCAAGACCTCGATTACGTCCTGGATCTCACAGAAGCTGACTGCGACCCTGTGTACAAGGTGAGGACTACAGTGTGTTACCCCAGCTGTAAGGAAAGGTGATGCCAGGTAGCATGAGCTGCCTTTATCTTGGAATTTGGCAGCCCTCACAACACGTTCCTTCATAAAACTCACTTTTAAGCTTAGTGGTTTCTTCCTGCCCGAATAATCTCTTACGTTCTGCATAAACAGCTCTGCTGGTGTTATCTCCATCACGCAGGAGCCAACCTGAAGCAGTGGAGGAGCCTGGTTGTTGGAGTACTCTTGTAGAATGGTGTTTCTATAAAGAATGTGAATTAATTATACTGAGAAGATCATGAGGGTGAAAGCAGCAGCGTGGTGCTGCCTGTCCTTTCTTGTCCCCTGGTGACTTGAGACCAGAAACTAGGTCTTATCCTTGCGTTCCCCACTGCGCCTGTACTGCTCAGGGATCCCTGAGCTCAACCCAGTGGTGCTGGTGGGAATTATCTCTTGGTTTAACCCATTCCTGCTCCACAGTGCAGTTCTCCCACTCCTAGCTGGCGCCCCCCCCCCCAAGATTAACCCTCTGCCTCGCATAGATTTGACCTGCGCAACTCATTGGCATGAGGAAAGCATTGAAAAAGTCATTTTCCCTTTTGGATCTAAGAGGAGAACATTGTGTGAGCACTCACTTCATCCCTGACCTCCTGGGGAAACCTTGAACTGGCCTTTAAATGCTGCTTGAGAAGTCACTCACCTCTTCCCTCTATAGGAAAACTGACCCCCGAGAGTTTCAGCTGTTACTTGGGAAGCACTGTGCTTCAGTACTGCTTTTCACCCATCTTTTCCAGGTAGCTTCCTGGGAGAAGCAGATTTACACGTGCTGCAGAGACGGGATAGTGAGGAGATACCAGCTTTCCGATCTGTAAGCGCCTGGATCGACCACGTAGCAGAGGGAAGAGCCAAAAGGGCTCCTCCGAGCTGGTTTTCCTGTGATGGGATGTGGGTGTTTTGGAGGCCGCTGGGATCACCAGCCTGCGGAGAGAGGGCTTTGGGACACGAGTATTTCCTATGACAGCGCAGCTGTAGTTGAGAGCAGCTCCCCGGCGCTGGGGAGGGGTCTGTGTGCCACCAGTTCCTTTTTCACTGCTGGAAATCACCGTTTCTAGGGGAAGAAGGTACCAAGGAATGGGGTTGGGAGGGTGAGGGGGTGCTGCCTCGCCGCGTGCACTGAAATAAAGCAGCTGCTTTCACATCACCCGGGTGGAAAAGTAGTTTTCCGTGGACAGCAGCGGCGAACTACAACTCCCATGATGCCCCGCGCGGGCACGGACCGGAAGTTCCGGCCGCGCTGTCTCCATAGCAACGCGCGCCGCCATGGGGCAGGATTACTACGCGGTGCTGGAGCTGGGCCGCGGAGCCACCGCCGCCGACATCAAGAAGGCGTGAGGGGACCTGGGGGGGACCTGGGGGGTCGGGGGGGAGGTGGGGATGGGGATGGGGAGCTCTGTGTGTGCCCCGGTGCTTTGCTCCCCTCCCCGCAGCAGGGGTGCTGTGGTAGCCGGGCCCGGCCGGGAGGGTGCGTTCCCCGCTCTCTGTCCCGTTCCAGCTACCGGAGGTTGGCCTTGCAGAGCCACCCCTTGAAATGCAAGGAGCCCGGCGCCCCCGAGAGGTTCCGGCACCTGGCGGAGGCCTACGATGTGCTCAGCGACCGTAAGTGGGGCTGGGAGCGGGGGGGGGGGGGACACGGGGCTCTGGTGGGGCTGTGGCTGCATCCCCATCACTGCTGCAGCCAGGCTGGGGGCTGCTGCCTCCATAGAAGGGTTTGGGTTGGAAGAGAGCTTAAAGCTCCTGCAGCTCCAACACCTGCCACGGGCAGGGACCCCTTCCACTGGAGCAGCTTGCTCCAAGCCCCTGTGTCCAACCTGGCCTTGAGCACTGCCAGGGATGGGGCAGCCACAGATGCTCTGGGCACCCTGTGCCAGCGCCTCAGCACCCTCACAGGGAAGAGCTTCTGCCTTGTATCCAACCTGAACTTCCCCTGTTTCAGTTTGAACCCATCACCCCTTGTCCTATCACTCCAGTCCCTAATGAAGAGTCCCTCCCCAGCATCCTTGCAGCCCCCTTCACACACTGGAAGCTGCTCTGAGGTCTCCACGCAGCTTCTCTTCTCCAGGCTCAACAGCCCCAATGTTCTCAGCCTGGCTCCATACAGGAGCTGCTCCAGCCCCTGCTCATTCTCGTGGCCTCCCCTGGACTTGCTCCAGCAGCTCCATGTCCTTATGTTGGGGACCCCAGAACTGCACCCAGTGCTACAAGTGGGGTCTATTGCTGGGCACAGAGTGGTGGGGACCCCCCCTCTTCCCCCAGCCTCTATCCAAGTAAAACCTGGATCTCTGGCCTGAGATTCCCAACTCCTCCTTGTTCCCTAAGCTATGAAGAAAGGCATCTACGACAAGTTTGGAGAAGAGGGACTCAAAGGTGGCATCCCCCTGGAGTCGGGTGATGATAACGCCTGGAGCGATGGATACGTGTTCCACAACGACCCCCACAGAGTCTTCAAGGAGTTCTTTGGTGGAGACAACCCCTTTGCAGGTACACAGAGGGGTCCAGGACCCATCTGTGGCTGCCACCGTGCCATGGCCACCACGAGAGCTTGAAGCTCTGTGGGGCTGTTTCCCTGCCCAGTGACTCTGGTGCTGCTGGTTCCTGGGGGTTAGATCCTGATTGGCCCCAGTCTCAGGTGGGAGGGAGCCCTGAGGGTGTGAGTTCAGGCTCTCTGCTCTCCCCATAGGCTGTTGTGAGCCTTGTCCTGGAGGATTTCCATCCCCAAACCCAACCCCAAAGAGGGCTTGGGGTTGCTGAGGTGCCGTAAACACGGGAGCAGGATGGAACCACGAGCAGGAGCGGGACGGTGGTCACAGGCAGAAGCAGATGGGAGGTTTCTGCATGTCGAGGTGTATTTGGGGGGTTCATCCTCCATAGGAGACCCCAGGGGCTCCCCGACCCCTGATCCAGGTGCGATGAGCCCCTCTGCTTGTTCACACAGAGTTCTTCGCTGAGGATGGCTCAGAGCTGATCCTGCCCTTCGGGGGGCTGCGGGGCCGAGGAGCCAGGAAGCAGGACCCGCCGGTTGTGAGGGATCTGTACCTGTCCCTTGAAGACCTGTTCCATGGCTGCACCAAGAAGATCAAGATCTCCCGCAGGGCAGTGACCGTGGGGGGAAGGGGGAGGCTGGAACCCCCCCTCCTGCAAAGGGAGCTTGGCACAGGAGGTGCTGTGAAAGCTGGTGGGGAGGCAGGGCTGAACCCGGAGCTGCGCTGTCCTTTGGAGGAGCAGGACTTGGGGTGCTGGGTGAGGAGGAGCTCCCCATGACCCGGCTTCAGTGTGTGCTTGAGCCCAGAACCCCCCCGTGTGCTGGGTGCACCCCCAGAGCGTGAGCAGCAGCTCAGGGAGGGGATCCTGCCCCTCTGCTGCGTGAAGGGGAGAACCCCCTGCAGCCCTGATCCAGCTCTGGGGCAGCAGCACAAGGGGGGACATGGAGCTGTTGGAGCGAGGCCAGAGGAGGCCATGGAGATGCTGCGAGGGCTGGAGCAGCTCTGCTCTGGAGCCAGGCTGAGAGAGCTGGGCTGGGGCAGCCTGGAGAAGAGAAGGCTCCTGAAGGGGAGACCTGAGAGCAGCTCCAGTGCCTGAAGGGGCTGCAGGAAAGCTGGAGAGGGGCTTGGGACAAGGGCCTGTAGGGCCAGGCCAAGGGGAATGGCTTGAACCTGCCAGAGGGGAGACTGAGCTGAGCTCTTAGGCAGAAGCTCTTCCCTGGGAGGGTGCTGAGGCGCTGGCACAGGGTGCCCAGAGAAGCTGTGGCTGCCCCATCCCTGGCAGTGCTCAAGGCCAGGTTGGACACAGGGGCTTGGAGCAAGCTGCTCTATGGAAGGGGTCCCTGCCCGTGGCAGGGCTTGGAGCTGGATGGGCTTTAAGGTCCCTTCAACCCACCCCGGGCTGTGGCTCTGTCAGACCCGGTGGCAGCTCAGAGATCCCTGCTCCATCTGCAGGGCTGTGTCCGCACTGCAGGGTCACGATCCAGCACGGCCGGACTCGGTGCTCGGTGCTGGCTGCTCGGGTGGCCGAGCAGAGCCCGTACCCGGTCACAAACGCTGATCCCCTCGTCCCCCCCTCCAGGTGATGAACGAGGATGGTCAAACCAGCTCCATCAAGGACAAGATCCTGACCCTGGACGTGCAGCCGGGCTGGAAGCAGGGCACCAGGATCACCTTTGAGAAGGAAGGGGACCAGGTAATGCCTGCGGTGTGGAGCTCCGGGCCGGGTTTCCAGCTCTCCTGGTGCCACGGGCAGTTGGGAGCGTGGTTAATGCAGCCACTCGGGGTCACTGTGCTCCACAGCGCTCCAAGGAGCCCTTCCTGCCTGGGTTATCCTTAGGATGCATCACTGAAAGGGGGTGGATTTCTGCCTGATGCCTGCTTTCCCCTGCTGAGTCTTTGACTGAAGCCTCCTTTTTCCTTCCCCTCTCCCTCATTTTTAGGGCCCAAACGTCATTCCAGCTGACATCACCTTCGTCGTCCGGGAGAAAACCCACCCGAGGTTCAAAAGAACCGATGACAACCTCGTCTTTGTCGCCACCATCCCCTTGGGGAAGGTAAAGAGCCCTGGAAGCGGGCTCTGTGGGGGGCAGCAGAGGCAGCTCAGCTCCTGCTCCGTGCCCTGCAGGCACTGGTTGGCTGCACGGTGGAGGTGAGGACGCTGGATGGGAGGCTGCTGAACATCCCCATCAATGACATCGTGGAGTGAGTGCCAAGGGGGAAAAGGCTGCTGGGCTCAGGGGCCTTCCTGCACGGTTCGGAGGCCAAGGAGGTGAATGGGCACCTGGGAGGAGCCTCAGCACTGATGTGTTCCTGCTGCCTGGATCACTGGGGTGCTTCAGCAGCTTTCCAGGAGGTTTGGGGGGCTCCTGCCTGCCCGAGGGTGCCCACAGTGGGCTCCTGTCATTGTCTGTAATGGGGCTGTGCTGCTGGTAATGGAGAATCGGGGACTCCCTGGGTTGGGTTGAAGGGGAAGCAATAGAAGGGGCCACGGGGCTCCACACGGACCCGTTGGGGCTTGGAGCCTGTGTTGGGATCTCCCTGCAGCTCCTCTCAGCCCCTTCCTTTGCTCTGCAGCCCCAAGTACTGCAAAGTGGTGCCAGGGGAGGGCATGCCTCTGCCTGGGGACACCCAGCGCAGGGGTGACCTCCTCCTCTACTTCAACATCTGCTTTCCCACGAAGCTCACACCTAACAAGAAGATGCTCTTAAGAAACGCCCTCCTGTCCTAGGGGCCGATGCCCTTCTCCTTCTCCTCCCACCAATAAAGCTCTGGAGCCCATAATGGGACGGGGGAGAGGAGGTTCCATGTACGGGGCACGCTGAAACACAAGGATCATCCCACAGCAAGAGCCTTGAGGCTGTTCCTGCTGCCCTCACTCAGCTTTGCTTTAGGGACTCTACCCCTCGGCTGCCACCCTGCAGCCATCCAGGGGGTGATGGAGGATCTGGGGGGGGGGGGTTGGAGTCCTCCCTGCTCCTGCTTTGGGGGTGACTGCACGGGGCAGTGCAGGAAGGACCAAAGCCAAGGAGGAAAAGACCCCAGGATGTGCTCAGAGCCTCAGTGTGCTCACTGCAGCTTTCCCCTTGCTGGGCACGGGTGATGCCCTTCCCTATGGCAGTGACAGCCCCGGGCTCAGGGACCTCCTGCCAGTGGCCCCCAGGTCCCATTTGAGCCACTTGTGATGTTCCAGGAGAGGAGGCACAGGAGTGAGGGCACAAAGGGGCTGGAACAGTTGGGATCAGCACATCCCGTAAGGACTGCCCCCAACAGCGGTCCTGGACCTCGTGTGTGAATCCCAAAGAGGTTTGGGTTGAAGGGACCTCAAAGCTCCTCCAGCTCCAACCACGGGCAGGGACCCCTTCCACTGGAGCAGCTTGCTCCAAGCTCATTCTTATCCCTCCATCCCTTGTCCCAAGCCCCTCTCCAGCTTTCCTGCAGCCCCTTCAGGCACTGGAGCTGCTCTCAGGTCTCCCCTTCAGGAGCCTTCTCTTCTCCAGGCTGCCCCAGCCCAGCTCTCTCAGCCTGGCTCCAGGGCAGAGCTGCTCCAGCCCTCACAGCAGCTCCTCTGGACCCAAGTCCTTCCCCTCAGGCTCCATCCCCTCTCCCCCAGCCTGTGTCTGTGCTGGGATTGCCCTGACCCAGGGGCAGGACCTTGCCCTGGGCCTGCTTGAGCCCCGTGAGGTTCCCCCCACATCCCTGGGGCAGAGGCAGCAGGCACAGCCCCGAAGCCAGCCCCGAGGAGCAGGGGAGGCCGTTGCTGTGCTGGGATTTGGGAGCCTGGATTATTGTAGGGATGTGAGCACCAAATCCCTGATGTGATCGTGCAGCTCTAGGGGCTGCAGAGCCCAGGGTGAGTGGATGAGGCCCCCTCCTTGGGGCTGGGGGTGCAGCAGGCTCTTTGCACCCATGGGTGCACCCACGGCCGTGAGCACACCGCGCTCCCATGCTTCTTTTTCCCTGACACCTGGATAAGCTTCCCCTTTTCCAGCAGCATCCCAGGGCTGCGAGGACAATCATAAACCTCCCCCAAAGTGACGGATCAGACCCCATAGGGGCGGTTTATTGGAAGCATCCATAAGGAACAACAGGAATGCCCCCTCCCTGGCTCCCGTGTGAGCACCAGAGGGATTTCAAGCTGGTTTCACACCCTGAAGCCACCTTTGCTTCTGCTGCTCACCTGCTCCTCAGCACCATCCGGAAGTGCTGCTCTTCCCAGCTGGAAAACCATCACCGCTCCTCTCCTCCTCCCTAACGTCCGCCCTGGAAACCTCCCCTCCGTTCTCCCACGTTCCTCCTCCAATCCCATTGTTTGTCCTTCCATCCATCCACGCAGTCCCTCTCAGGGGTCCCGTTGGCATCGCTGCTCCCCACGGCTTCAGTTAATGGCAATTAATGTAATTGAGTGCAGGTCCTCGCCGAGGGGCGAGCGGGGCCGGGTCAGGAGCGGGCCAGCACCGCGGCGCGCTGCAGCTGCTCGTAGGAGACGAACATCACCACGTTCCAGGAGCCCAGGCGCAGGAAGGAGGGCACGAACCTGCACCGGGAGAAGCGGGACATGGGGAGGGCATCCCAGGGCTGCCCTGCCTGGGGCTGCGGTGGGTGCATCACAGAGACACAGAGGGGTTTGGGTTGGAGGGAGCTTAAAGCTCCTCCAGCTCCAACCCCTGCCTTGGGCAGGGGCACCTTCCATAGAGCAGCTTGCTCCAAGCTCATTCTTATCCCTACAGGCCCTTGTCCCGAGCCCCTTCTCCAGGATTCCTGGATTCACTGGAGCTGCTCTCAGGTCTCCCCTTCAGGAGCCTTCTCTTCTCCAGGCTGCCCCAGCCCAGCTCTCTCAGCCTGGGTTTGTGCTGGGATTGCCTTGATCCCAGGGCCTGGTTGAGCTCCATGAGCCTCACACGCTCCCACCCCTCCAGGTCCTTCTGGATGCCATCCCTTCCCTCCAGCATGGCGCAGCTCGGTGCTGTCAGCAAACCTCACAGCACACTCAATCACTCTATAGGGTCCTGGTCCCAGTAGAGACCCCTGAGGGACACCACTTGTCACTGGTGCCCATCCAGACATGGAGCCCTTGACCAAACCCTCTGGCAGTCCCTCACCCCCCATCAACCCGTTCATCTCTCTCCAGTTTAAAGGGAAGCACGCGGTGGCTCCGGCATCAAAGGCTTGCTCATGGCCCCGCTGTGCTGCTGCTCAGCACCATCACCGCCAGCCTCACCCCTTGTAGAAGCCAGCGAGCCCGTCCTGCAGGAGCAGCACCAGCAGGCAGCTCAGCGCGTTGCGGTACTGCCCGGGGCCCGCGTTCATGTACCGCGTCTTCACCACGTCCACCGGCGACGCCACCACCGTGGCGCAGAACCCGGCCCCGAAGGCGGCCACGAAGTGACAGGGGACGTTGTCTGTGGGGCGCAGCACGGGGTGAGGGCCATGGGGATGGCACCCACTGCGTCTGCCCCCCTCGCCCCCCCCAGCTCAGCACCATCCTGACCTGTCATCAGCTGCGCCCGCAGCAGCGCGTCCTTAATGAGGTCGTAAGTGACGAGCTCCCCGCAGTTGATGATGGCGTTGCGGGCGATGTTGGGCAGCGTCCCTGTGCGGGACAGGGGTGGCAATGGGGAAGTGGCACAGCCCTGAAGGGAGCACCCTGCGTGGGTGCCCCGGCCCTGCTGTCCTCATCCCTGTTTCATCCATCCCCATCTGCACCCCTCAGCCCATCGTTAGAAACAGGGAATGGTTTGGGTTGAAGGGAGCTTAAAGCTCCTCCAGCCCCAACCCCTGCCACGGGCAGGGACCCCTTCCATAGAGCAGCTTGCTCCAAGCCCCTTCCAAGCCATTCCCCTTGGCCTGGCCCTACATCCCTTGTCCCAAGCCCCTCTCCAGCTTTCCTGCAGCCCCTTCAGGCACTGGAGCTGCTCTCAGGTCTCCCCTTCAGGAGCCTTCTCTTCTCCAGGCTCACCCAGCCCAGCTCTCTCAGCCTGGCTCCAGAGCAGAGCTGCTCCAGCCCTCGCAGCAGCTCCGTGGCCTTCTCTGGATCCACTCCAACAGCTCCACGTCCCTCGTGTGTCGGGGACGCCGTAACTGCACACAGTCCTCATTGTCCCTTTCCTCATCCTCATCCCCATCCAAGGGTTGGAAAGGGCCTTAAGATCATCCAGTTCCAACCCCCTGCCATGGGCAGGGACACCTCACACTGAACCATGGCACCCAAGGCTCTGTCCAACCTGGCCTTGAACACTGCCAGGGATGGAGCATTCACAACCTCCCTGGGCAACCCATTCCAGTGCCTCAGCACCCTCACAGTAAAGAACTTCTTCCTTATCTCCAGCCTGAACTTCCACATTCCCACCCCACCCCTGCCTCCATCCCCATCCCCATCCCCATCCTACCTCTCCATAGCCCGCGGACCCCCTCCTCCCTGGCGATGGTCCGATAGGCATCCACAGTGCCGCTGTACCTGCGGGCACCGTCCGGCAGCGCCCCGTTGGCCTGGAACCGCACCTTGACCACGTCGGTGGGCTGGGCACAGGCCACGGCCACCGCGCCCGTGGTGCAGCCCGCCAGCACCCGCGGGGCCAGCCCGGTGCCTGCAGAGCACAAGCACTGGGAGCCCCGGCTCTACGGGTCCCCCACCACCCCATTGAGTACCCTGGGGCGTGGGGGGGGGGGGGGGGAGCTGCACGGAGGGTGGGTGCTCGCCCTGGGGGCTCATAGGGACAAGGGGCGCGCAGGGATGGGGTGCTCCTGGACACTCACTCTCGGCACCCTTGGGGGCGTAGAGCTGCTTGACGGAGTCATAGAGGCCGATGCGGATGGAGGCGAAGCTCATCTGGCGCTGGAGCCCGGCCGCCAGCCCGCTGTACAGGCTGCGGGGTCCTTCCGTCCGCACCATGGTGCTCAGCGTCCCAAACACCCCCCGGTACTCCACGGCGCCGACGGGCCGGGGGATGCGCACCTCGCCCTGGATCTGAGGGACACCCCCGACCCGCGTCACCCCAAGCACCCCCGGCTCCGAGGCGCGCACCGGGGGCACCCGTGGCGGGTGCTCGCAGGGATGTGGGGCGCGGCGGGTCCTACCTGCAGGCGCACTTTGGCGGTGTCCAAGGGGAAGGTGCAGAGGTCGGCGATGCACCCGGCCAGCCCCGCGCTCACAAACTTGACGCCGGCTGTGGGGGGCACCTCGGGGGGCTTCAGACCCACCATGGTGGCTGGGAAGGAAAGGGGGCTTCAAAGACGGGGGCCACTTTGGGGGCAGGGGTGACAACGTGGCCTCTCGCTGCCTTCAGACACCCCAAAAGCCCAACTCCGCCCTGGTCCCTCGCCTGTATCCCTGGGGAAAGTGAGGCAGGGGCTCCACGCTGAGCCCAGGGATGGCACCGGATGCACCCACCCCATCCCGGACACAACAGGGGTGCTCGGTGGGGCCATCTCTCCCAGGGTGACCCCCTCCATGGCCTCACCGTTGGCAGCCCAGCTCCTCACACGGGCATTGCCTGGCTCCTTGGCTCCCCCTTATATAGCACCGGGACGGCATTCCAGCCACCGGGATCGGGTGACAGCGAAACCCAGTTCCCTCGCTGGCATTTGAACTGAGCAGAGTGGGGCCACCCGTGGCTGAGGTCCAACCCTTGGGACCTGCCCAGACCCCCAGCACCCATCAGGGCAGGATCCTGCCCGTTTGGTGGCTGCTGGGATCTCAGATGGGGAATCATTCGGGATTAACCCTAACCGTGCTTTGGGAAGGACGAGATGCAGCGACCACCTGAAGGGTTAAAAAGCGACCG